CAGGTGTTCAGTCAGTCAGGTCAGACAGGTGTTCAGTGAGACAGCTGTTCAGTCAGACAGGTGTTCAGTGAGACAGGTGTTCAGTCAGTCAGGTGTTCAGTCAGACAAATGTTCAGTCAGACAGGTGTTCAGTCAGACAGGTGTTCAGTGAGACAGGTGTTCAGTCAGTCAGGTGTTCAGTCAGTCAGGTCAGACAGGTGTTCAGTGGGACAGCTGTTCAGTCAGACAGGTGTTCAGGGAGACAGGTGTTCAATGAGACAGGTGTTCAGTCAGTCAGGTGTTCAGTCAGACAAATATTTAGTGAGACAGGTGTTCAGTCAGACAGGTGTTCAGTCAGACAGGTGTTCAGTCAGACAGGTGTTCAGGTGTTTCAGAAGCGCTGACGATACCTGAATGATAGGCTCATGAGAAGATGAGTCACTCTGTTCTAAAATCAGAATCCTTTTTTCTCCCGACTTCAGGACAGTAAACTTTCTGTCTCTTTGAGGACAGTTGGAACCAGAACCTTATCAAGAATCCACCTCGGGTTCTGAACCGGATCAGACTGGGACCATGAGACTGAGGGAGGGGTTGCTCATCCACCTGCTGTGACTCTCAGGTGTGTCAGGTGACCTTACCTGAGGGTTTCTGTTTTCTGAGCAGAGTGAGACCTCTGACCTGTCCTATCTGTGCAGGAAGAGGAGAATAAAAGCCGCATCACCTGATGCTCCGCAGACCCGCTCCCTTCAGTCACGGTCCAGTTCTCGTCGGACCTGCTCCTTCGGTCCGGTTCTGCTCGGCTCTGCGGGATCAGCAGCCGTGTGTCTGCCGGTGGGTCGCTCGGGTCTAGTCGCGGTAAACGGTTCGTGTTCGGAGATGCCGGTTCGGATCCCGGACGACTCGGACTTCTTGTCTTTTAAAGACCAGTGTCTGAATCCGGACGGGTGGACCAGCAGGTACAACAAAGGAGGAGTCACGGTCTGGTGCCGAGAGGAGGACAGCTCGGTCCAAAAAATCAAGGTGAGCAGAACCGGAAGCTCACCTGAGACACTAACAAGTAACCTATGAGATGTGAAGTTCTGATCCGGTTCCGTCTGGTTCGTCTCAGTCCATTTTCAGGACAAGCTAAACTTTTATTTATGATTAAAAATTCTTCATCGCAGTCATCAACACCAGAGTCCTGGTTCTGGTTCTGACCCAGATAAATGTTCTGTGAACCGGGTCAGATGACCAGGTGAGTCCAGTCTGAAGATATTTAGGTCAAAATGTGGTTCTGGGAGGTGGGAGCAGGTCAGGTTCTACAGGTTTGGTTCTGGTTTTTTGGGTTTTTTTAAGTAAAAGAAGAAGTTGGATCACATGAATAGATTACATCATCGGTGACGTCATGGTTCCACGTTAAAAAGTAAAAACGGAGAGAAAAAGTTCTGTTTGTTTTTGTGTCAACTTTAACCCGGGTCACGGGTCAGAACAGGGTTCAGTCTGGTCTGAAACAGGACCTGATACCTGATCCAGAAAGAACTCAAGAAGACCAACCGCCATCCAAGGTCCATCATCTGGTCCACAACAACATAAGGCCCAAAGAACCTGGAGGAAGTTCTGGTTCTGCATGAACCCAGTCGTCATTTACAGGAGGAGGTTCTTGGTTCTTAGAGCTTCTGCAGACAGTTCTGTGTTTTAGAGCAGGAACCGGGCCCACTGGGTTCCAGAACTGCTTTCATGAACAGCTCCCAGTCTCTGGTCCAGCTCCTGGTTCTGGTTCTGCCAGGTTGTCTTTGGCTCTGTTTGCAGCTGCTGGTTGTTTTAAACTCAAACATTAAACCTTTATTGTCTCCAGAGAAACAGGAGGATCAGTGACCTGAACACACCCAGCCTGCCGTGCAGCTGGCTCTGCCCCGGGGCATTGTGGGAAATGTAGGAGCTGAGAAACAGGTTGGCCTGAAAAGAGGGAAAAACTGTTGTACTGCTGGTTTAAATGTAAATCTGAAAAGGTCAAAGTTCAAAAACTGCAGAGGAGCAAAACCACTGCGAGAAGAGTGTATGGTTCGACTCTGAGTTTAGACTGACAGGACAGAATCCGGTCCCTGAGTTTAGACTGACAGGATCGAATCTGGTCCCTGAGTTTAGACTGACAGGACAGAATTAGTCCCTGATTTTAGACTGACAGGATCGAATCCGGTCCCTGAGTTTGGACTGACAGACAGAATCTGGTCCCTGATTTTAGACTGACAGGATCGAATCCGGTCCCTGAGTTTGGACTGACAGACAGAATCTGGTCCCTGATTTTAGACTGACAGGATCGAATCCGGTCCCTGAGTTTAGACTGACAGGACAAAAGCTGGTGCCTGAGCTCAGACTGACAGGAATGAATCTGGTCCCTGAGCTCAGACTGACAGGAATGAATCTGGTCCCTGAGTTTAGACTGACAGGAATGAAGCTGGTCCCTGAGTTTAGACTGACAGGAATGAATTTGGTCCCTGAGTTTAGACTGACAGGAATGAAGCTGGTCCCTGAGTTTAGACTGACAGGAATGAATTTGGTCCCTGAGCTCAGACTGACAGGAATGAAGCTGGTCCCTGAGTTTAGACTGACAGGAATGAAGCTGGTCCCTGAGCTCAGACTGACAGGAATGAATCTGGACCATGAGCTCAGACTGACAGGAATGAAGCTGGTCCCTGATCTCAGACTGACAGGAATGAATCTGGTCCCTGAGCTCAGACTGACAGGAATGAAGCTGGTCCCTGAGCTCAGACTGACAGGAATGAAGCTGGACCATGAGCTCAGACTGACAGGAATGAAGCTGGACCATGAGCTCAGACTGACAGGATGGAATGAAGCTTGTCTGGATTGTGAAGCAGCTTTAAACCAGTTCAACAAAGGAAGATCATCTTTTCCTAAAGCCAACATTTACCGTCAACCAGAGCCGGAGGACGGGCTGTAGTGCATGCTGGGAACATGCAGGAGGAACCCAGTTTATTTAAATGTTTAAAATGTGGCTATGACACTTAATTGTTTGAACTTCCTTGTCCAGAATTGACTGTACCACAGACAGAGCTGTAGCTGGAGCAGAAACAGGATGTAAACAAGTAACCATGTGAGCAGCATCATTATGAGCTCAGACTGTTTGCCTGCAGTCAGGTAACGTCATGGAGACTTTGTTTTCTGTGGACTCTGATGACTGAGGCTGAATATGGGAGGGTGAAAGTTCTGCGGTCGTGTTTTTGTACCAGCAGATGTTTTTGGAAGCTGTTATTTTTTTTTATAAAAGAGGAATGAAAACGGTTTGAATGCTGCAGAAAAACACCCATCAGAAGCACAAAGCAGTATTTGTGAGCCGGTGGAGCAGAAACTCCTCACACAGGTGGACGAGCCGAGCCGCAGAGTGATGGATGGACATCGTGAATGATTAACGGGGCAGCGGAGTCGTGCTGATTGAGTTACACGGAGCGTTCTCCAGCGCAGACTCTCACAATATCCGATGACAGCTGCTCAGCTGAGCCTGACGCTCCTGGAAGATTACAGCAGTGGAAAAAGGTGACATCGTACGGTGAGCTGGGTTTCACATGGCGTCCGGTAAGCCATCACCAGGAAGAGGCTGGACGCAGCTCTGTGTCCGTCCTCCCGTTACAGCAGAAAGAGTTCTTCTTCTCTGGTTGTTTTCCTGCTCAAAGGGCATGAAATCAAAACAAACAATGGAGATGGGAGATAAAAACAAACAAGTCCAGGTTTAACTTTGGGCTGATGACATCATCAGTGAGTTTAAATCCTGTCTAAAGCACTTCCTGTGTTTGTTTCAGATGAGGATCGTTTGCAAAGACGTGGCGGCAGAGACGTTGTACGACGTCCTTCACGACACCAGCTATCGTAAGAAGTGGGACAGCAACATGATTGAGACGTACGACATCGGCAGGCTGACCGTCAACGCGGACGTGGGATATTACTCCTGTCAGTAAAGTCCTAAAGTTCTTATAAGAGCTAGAATAGTTGGTGGAAACTATGAAAGGGCTTGCCACGTGTCATCCAGTTTAACTGAAGATTTATAAAGATTTGAATTTACTATTTGTTGGAGATCACTAGCTGCGTTTCCATTGCAAATGTGCGCAAAACTTGCAGTTGTGAAAAAGCACAGTTTCGCAACTGCGGTGTTTCCATTAAGTAAGAAATGCTATTAAAGTCACGTGAATACGTTTGTTCTCACGAT